CTTCCATGGAAATCTCAAACCCCTGAACCGATTTGGGTGATTTTTGTATATGTTGGTCACCCTGATCAGGGCTATCAAGGGATGTAACTTTTGTGGGGTTTTCATTTGTTTTGTTTTGTTTTTTTTTCAATTAGAATTTTATTCATTTTTTTTTTTTTTTTTTTAAATTCAATAAAAGGGATACAGAAAGAAAAAAGGGAAAGGGAGGGGGTTGAATTAACATACATTCACTTTTTTTTTTTTAACATATTATGTAAATCACCTCTATATAGTGTTCAAATTAGAATAATGTCTATTTCGTATTTATCTTAAAGGACCACTATAGTGAAAGGAAACATACTCGTTTTCCTGGCACTATAGTGCCCTGAGGGTGCCCCCACCCTCAGGGTCCCCCTCCCGCTAGGCTCTGGGGGGAGGAAGGGGTTAAACTTACCTCTTTCTCCAGCGCCGGGCGGAGAGCTCTCCGCCTCCTCTTCGGCTGAATGCGCATGTGCAGCAGAAGCTGCGCGCGCATTCAGCCAGTCTCAAAGGAAAGCATTCACAATGCTTTCCTATGGACGCTGGCGTCTTCTCACTGTGAGACAGGGAGACAGCCACTGGAGGCTGGATTAACCCTAATATAAACATGGCAGCGAACAGGATATCGTCAGCAAAGAAATTAAGTTTGTATTCCTCTGTCCCTATTTGAACTCCATGAATATCTTTGTTATGACAAATAGCTGTAGCTAGAGGTTCCAATGCCAGAACATACAATAGAGGGGACAAAGGGCATCCCTGTCGTGTCCCATTTGTAATATGGAAAGGTTTGGAACATAGGCCCATATTTATCACTGTAGCTATGGGATTGCTATATAAAGCTCTGACCGCTGAGAGAATTTGGGGTGTAAATTTGTAAGCAATTAGAGTTTCGTATAGGAACTGCCAATTCAGGCGGTCAAAAGACATTTCGGCATCCAGAGATAGCATTGTGCTTTCTTGTTTGGACAAATTCAAGATGTTGTTGATATTTAAAACTTTTCTTGTGTTGTCTGGTCCCTGTCTACCTATCACA